CGGCCAGTCAGTCAGTAGCGTAACGTGCACACTTCAGAAGGGCGCGGTTTTTAAATTTATTTTTTTAAATCGCAAATAATAACACATGGAAACATAAACTTAAGTGAACTGGTCACTATTAGGCACTAATCTAACAGGGTTCCTGTCGCAGGTAGAAAAGTTCACTATGACAGAGAAACGATGACGGACGCCTCTGAGGGTGCGCCCATTCGACAATGCTGGATATATTTCATTGTACTTCAGTAGCGAGGGAAGTTCTGTCGAAACAACTTTCTACCAATTTTTTTTCTAGTTCCGATCATTCATGAGGTATCGAGGAGCGCGTGGTCTAGTGTCTAACCCTGTATATATATTTTTTCAAAAACGAACTTTCAAATTAACCGAAAATGTTTCGTATTTTACAATTCTCTAAAATATAGTCACTTTTGATTCTGCAGTTAAGTGGATTTTCAGTTGCCGGTGCAAAAATAGGACGTCAAAATTGTTGTTGCTGACCGACATTCGACATTAATTTATCAATAGCTCAAACGTGATTTTCCCTATCAACATGAGTAGAAGAAGGATAATAGATTATGCATTGTAATTTCCCCAAAGAGAGATTACTAGTAACTAAGTATTTAGTTTTAGGTACGATTTTTCTGTATTACTTTTAATATGTAGGTGTATATTATAATATTTCATTTATGTTGACAAAATACTTGGCAGATATAGAAAATATTGAACTCTCGGATGATCTCACAAATATCTATATAAATTATAATAAAGAATTCCACAAATGAGACAACGGACTTGGGACGGCTCTTGAAATGCGGCCACTCTAGGTTCCACTTAGCGTTGGCAGCGTAGGAAATTTGCAAGTAAATTCTTTGTATATACGAGAAAATTCGCAGTTGTCGATTGTATTAAAACGTACTAATTTTCTGAAGAAGTTGGTACATATACGGATCGATACAATTTCTCATAAAGTCCTTGTCATCCGCACGTCACTAAATTTCTTGTACAAAATGTGTATTGAAATTGATACATGCAAATTTTCAGGAAGCCAGCTTTCATTTTGGATTACTAAAGACTTTGAAGTCGACTAACGGCAAAGTTGCAATTATATTATAGTTTGCAATTTTTTGGAAAAGAAGAAATATTTGCCAACAATCTTTGTCTTTAGAGGTGAATTTCTGTAAATTGGAGTTATATCTTGCTCAGTGCACCTTAACTGAAATGATGTTGCAACTTTACGTTTTTGAAAACCTAGCTTGACTTTAAAAATTTCTAATTGGAAAAAAAAACTTGTTGCTAATGACATTATGTAACTATATTTGTTAATACTGACTACAACTTTTTCGGCAGGTCAATTCCAAAATGTTCAGAGATAAAAAAAACCTTGCTTATCGAATAATTCAAAATAAGTTTTGTGCAGGTACTAAAAAATACGCACTCTTTAAAACAAACAGAAAGCTATTAATACAATAAAATCGTATTATTTGGTATTGGAACATTTGTCGTTGGATTTTTAGTAAGAATTCGCCACTTTCTTATTTCACCAAACAGTTTACTACAATCTAGAAATAAGATAAATAAGAACATTGTGTGAATATCACATGCTTTAGTTGTATGCAGTCAGGAATTCTTATAAGAATGTTCAAACTGGCCTCCATTGTGCTGTAAACACATTGAAAAAATAAGGTTATGATTGACACTTATGACAGGCGACGTGTAGTCATCAATCATCACAATGGGGCTGCAAAATTCACGAAATTTCAAAGCCAACGTAATATACGATATTCTTTAATAATAATCTAGGTATACACTTTAGTGTATGAAAAATTGGTCGAAAGTTATTTCCACAGAACCTCCCTCGCTCCTGAGTTACAATAAAACAAATCCAGCTTTTTCGAAAAATTATAAAATTTGATTAGACGAATTTTACTTTTTTATAAGAACCCTTAAAGTTTAAATGTAAAGAAACGTGCTGCACATATGTTTCAAATGCGTTTTCTCTTAATAAAATGGCATGATTAACATTTTTGCAGGACACGTAGATCTATCATTTTGGATAGGTGCAGTGTAATACTAATAATAATAGCACTGTATTTCGAAATTTTTGGAAAATGGAGTGAGTCGTTCTTGATTTAATCAATAAAATAAATTAACTCATTTATTAATTTTCATGAATCACTCTGTATTCAAAAACTATTAATGCAATGATAAATCACAAGTATAGACTCATCATGTTTGTATATTTTGGATAGTATTTAGGTATTTGGCAAAATTTTGAGATAACGTCATCAATTTTTTTGGGGAGCGGGATAAAGGAATGAACAAACCAAACTGCAAAATATTAATATATCTTTATCCAAAAATCTGGACGTCTGGATGAAAATTCGACACGGATTCACACACTACATGCCCAGAGTATCTTATTTTATAAAATTAAAAAATTACTAAATTATAAATTTTCGAGATGTCGTCATTCCATTGGTGGCGGTGATGATTAGCCAAATTTTAGTTACCGCTTTACTGACTACATCATATTCCTAACATATATAAATGTATACAATCGGTCCGGTTATTTCGGAATTACATGTCTAATAAAAATGGATACAGACGACAGACAGACAGACAGACAGACAGACCAGACGTAAACGGGAGATCGCTTTCTTCGTACTCTAGAGCTCATGATACGTCGAGAAAACATGAAGGTGCCAAGTCGCCCGATGGACTCGATTACTATACTTCCTTAGCTTACGCCCAGGAAATAAAAAGTGATTTTTTTGTAATGAACAGGGAACATGTACAAATTTATATTTTTCACTACAAATTTTACCTACATATTTATTGAAACTTTGTAAAAACTGGTAAATCTCCATCAGGATTATAGATTAAATGAAATATTAAAATATATATTATTTAAAACTGCACAAACTGTGCTTGCCGTTTTGGAAGTTCGAATTTGAGTAACCAACTCACTAAACAGGGTACAGTAAAACCCATTTACTGACTGATTTATTTTTCTTATGATAATCAGTATACGTATTATTAAAAATATGAATACATTATTAACCCACAAACAAACGAGTGTATTACACTACAAATTTGAAGCGAGAGTTCTAAACGCAATTGCGAGATGACGTCAGCAAATTTTTGGAAGGGGCGAATAGAAGAAATCTGATAAGCGATTTACCATGTTCACTGTAACTTTAAGACATGTGTAAAATTTCAAAGCAATCAGTTTTATAGTTTCTAAGGTAAATTATAAAATATTCTGGTAGATATTTTTTTTATTTTTCATCAAAATTTTACTTGTATGTGATTAAAATTACTGGCGTATTAATAAATCACAGGTTTATTAACACATTTTTCTGTGCAATTTAAACAAAATTTACTTAGCAAACTTTTGGAAGGACATCTTCAAATTTTTGGTGCGGATGGTCTGAGAAATTTTGGTTAGCGTTGTAGCATTTGCATAATATCTTTAAAATGCATCTAAAATTTCACCATAATTAGTAGTTTCGAAGATTATCCGTTTAGTAAAATCACCAACTAACAACCGAACGTTAAGGAAACATGAAATCTGCTTCTCATCAAATGGATCCAGGTATAAATAAATACCTCCTCAGCTTACACTCAGAAAGTAAAAGGTAAGTCTTCCGTGATCGGAAATATTTAAATCAGCCGAACTACCTTTACTTAAATTTAAGTCCATAGTTATGAAGAAATTTAGAGCCATCTTTATCGCATTTTTTTCATAAATACAACATAAAATTACTATGACAATTTTCAGAATGTTGAACATTCTGTAAATTTATTTGCACATAATTTTCTTTGTGTCTCAATTCCAGGAAGCAGCACTTACGTCTTATTAGGGTTATTTTTTCATTAAAGATTTATTTAATATTTAAAAAGAAAAATAGTCAATTTCTGATACTAGCAAATATATTCTATTTTGATATCCAATTATAGATCTGCGTTAAGCGTTCCCCTTCAAGCAAAAAACAATGGCGTTTACAGGATTTCAATATCTCTCTCCGTTTCCAAGAGTTTTAACTGAAAGTTTTAACTGGGATACCTGTATATGTGGAGGCTGTTCGTAAATGAGTGCCACGTCACTTTATCATTGAAAATTTAAGACTATCTAAATTTACCAATTTGTTTAACAATTAAAACAAAATTTGATTTTCTATAGATATAAATGAATCGAAATACATTTTTTGTATACCCCCCAAAAACAGCTATTTTACGGACTCAAAAGTATCCGTAAAATGAGTCTTTTTGGACTCAGTCCCAAAAAGTTACCATGGCAATTATTTGCTTTGACCAATACTATGCTTTACTATGGTGGCAGCCCACTACGTATTTTCGAGGAATATTTGCTATGGTTACATTAGTTGTATTAATTATAGTTGTATTTTTGGGAGCTTTAACAAAAAAAAATGTTGTCTGTAACATGTACCTAAAACGTTTTTTGGGACTCATTTGTAAAATTCGTCCCAAAAAACTATGTTTTAGGTACTCGTAACAAAGATAACTATTTAGTCAGTATTTTATAATCTCTAAATCACTATAAATTGGTCTACCAAAATTTTTTAAAATTAGGATCGTGATATATTAATTATACATATATTTTAATAATGTTTTCAGATGACATCATCGATTTTTAGAATAGATAAACTGTCTTTATGTTCCCGACCACAATTAATAGGTTGTAAACAGTTGCCAGTAGACAGAGTAATAGGGAAACAGAGATCGGAAACCCGGGTTTTCGTACTTTACGAGTTGTGAGATACTGAGTAAACAGTAAATTAAGCCCTGCCTAGAGCAATGGTTTTCCTAGCGAACTTTTGGAAAGCAAAAATGAAAATTTTCGAAACACTTTCAACAATGAGGAAACAATTAAGTGTTTTCGACCCTTTTCTGCGTTCTGCGGTGCCGTCACTGGTCGTCAGAAGTGGGATGAATGCGATCGATGAGGCTGGTCCAGGCGTCACTGCTCTTTGCCGAGGCGCCGTCATCCCAGGCTTGCAGTTTAGTGTTCGGGATACTGTCTCACGAGAGAGACGCCGCCGACGCGGATCGACGCCCGTGAGGTAAGTCAACAACTCGTGTCGTCGTATACGAATTCTGTTTAGTTTTCTCGCTTTCGCTCCACTTACCACCAATTCCATTAACTTTATCTGGAAAAAAAATCATAACAAAATATGAATTTGTACTAGTTTATTAAATAAGATATAAAAAAATACTTTGCGCCAAGTAAACAAAGTTTAACTAGTCGCAATTAAATCATATGGATATACAAACAATCTTGAGTAAAGTTTGGACAAATTGTGACCAAACTGGTGCAATTATTAGTATTTATTGAAAGTAAAATATGAGATGTCATTTGCATTGAAAATACATAACTTTATAAATAAAAAAAATACTTAGAAATAAAGAAGCTTCGTTTTAGTTTGAAGATTTTAAAAATAGTTGGTTATTTTTGGCAAGTGATAACTGTGACCAAATTTTTTGATAACGTATCTAACTATCTGTAAGTACTTATACATACACGCACTAAATATTTTGCTTTATGTTGCTTTTTATATCCGATCATAAGCAGTGTTATAGAATCGATTACTAAGTTTATGATTTTAATGAAAAATTTACAGAATTTTGTTGGTCTTTATGTTATTGCTTTCCAAGAATCTGGCGATTCTTTATTGGGTTAAGTAACGAAAAACACAGAAAAATGAATAAAAATAAGTTGATTAACAAACAACAATCGCTGTTCTTACTACTCAATGCAAGTTATAGGTACACGACTCAATTACATCTCGTCTATTGATTTAAAGTACAAATAGGTATTTTCTTGACGTAGAAAGACATGTCGTTTTGTTGTGTAGCTTGCGCGTGCTCATTTCGATAATTTCTATAGGTATGTTTACACCTAATAATTTTTTAGATGAATGCAGTCATGACATTTTAAAAGTCGATCAATTAAAAAGCACTGTAAGTGCAAAACTTATGTCAGATCGCAGCAACTTCATTTCTTTTCTCACAGTTTCACATAATCTTGTATTTTTTATGGATTTGCAAAAAAAGACGGTGTTAAAGACATTAATAAAATCAATTTTCTTTATGCCCATATATAAAAAAAAAGTTGCGCTACACGACCTGTTCACCATAATACGAACAAGACAAACACTTTCAAACAATCCGTTCATGAACAAACAAACTGAACGAACAATGTTGCAATTAGTGCTAGTATCTGAAGATTACAACTTACAGTACATGTACAGGTATAACAATCAATTTGTAACTCGTTGAGAGTACAAAACTGAGCCAGACACTTCCTTTATGCTTTTGTTTAGAATGTTTAGATTTTTATATATTATGTTTTTACAACTGCTGTTAATACATTTAAATTGTTGACACTTGAAGACTGTTAAATTGTTTGTTATGTACACATAATTACTAAGTTTTTACATTTCTTCTCAATCATTAGATACATTAAAGGCCCAAATTTTATTACATTTTTCATAGACTTTTAAGCATTATGTCACGAATTTTTATTTTAAATGGTGCAAAGTCGGCGTTATTGGTATTAAAGAGGTGGACAAAATTCAAATCTTTTTCTTTTTTTTTGCGATTTTTTGCATTTTGATTTTTTGGGTTTGGATAAAAAATCCATTAATTTCTAAAGTGAAAAATAAGAATAGATAAATTGTTATTAAACCTCAAGCGAAGGAAAAATATGATGTATATTCATTTTTTGGAGGGAATGATGGGCAGGCGTATTTTGATAGCGTTTTTGTAGAAATCCTATAGATCGTGACAAAATTTATTTAGGTTGTTATTTACTTTTTGCTTTTAATTTTTTCACAGATTAACTAAGATTTTGGTAAGTGGGACAACATTTATGGTAGTATTCTAATGTTTCTAACGTTGACAATTTTTGATGCCTTTGATATTTGACGAAAAACAATTTTTGTAATAGAAGAGTATAATTTCTGTCTTTCCATTGATATCCTTGCGCATTAATTTGATGAACACCCGTACAAATTTCCGATATTAACGAAAGCAAACAATATTTTTCATGCCTAAAATTCGTTTGTTTGCAATGAAATTTTACTTACATCATTATATTTTGGCCGTAAAAAATTAATGGAAATATAACATACATCATCGCTGGATAAACACTTGCTAAATAATTTTACATTTCGTGGTATTCCAGAAATGAATTTTAGAACACATTCGATGCTTTTTCCGAGCAAAAGAACTTGCTACAGGTTTTGGTAGTGCACATTTCCTTGTTCGTAAAAAGGAAATTCTTGTATCTTCGTTAACATAGGTAAGACAATTATTAATGCACAGTGATAATATCTCATTAGTTTGCCAAAGAGTCAAGGTGATCAATTGCAATATACTGTATTTATAATAAAATAACACACAAAAATAATGCCATTTAAAAAGCAGTGGTTAATTTTTAAAAATGTAAAATTATTTAAAATAAAAGGTCTTTAAGTTACAATAAGTACACAAAAAATAAATAGTATTAAAATTTAAATTTGCGAGAGTTAATTAACTAACTCCGTTTCAACATTTTTTAGGTTAATTCTATTTTATCTTTATTCAAGTTGGCGATTAACTTTATATTGTTTAACTTCGTTTAACTTTCTAACATTGGTAGTAATATAATTCAAAATAAATATGCGATAATGTTCTCTTAATCAATTCAAGAGAATTTGAGGTATGAAGTTAAAGTTCAAAACTAGCAGAGTTAACAAAAAATATTTTCCGGTTAACAAGTATTTAAAGAGTAAACAAAAAAATTCCTGTAACTAGATATTCCACTTACCAAACAAATGCAGAAAAGTTAGAGTTTATTGACGATGTTTTTCTTTTCATTTGAGGTTTTAATTTATTTGTTATCTCTTATAAAATAATGGCCATAGAAGTAAATAATAGAATTTTAGAAATATAAATTAAAAAAGATATAGGTGTTGTGGGACATCCGTATGGGACGAAGTTTCTTACACTTGTATATAATTGGGTTCTATTTATTTGGTCAGTATTTATATGAATAAAATGCAAGTATTTTTAATAAAAATGGTCAGTATTTTGTGTATATTACGAGCAGTATAATATACATCATTATCAGTATAATATTGATTTGAGTAAAATAATAATTCATGTAAGGTCAGTCATTTTATATACTTTTATCAGTAAAAACTTTAGATACTGTTAGTAAAAAATAATTGAACGTCTTTAAAATATAATTTTATTTATTATATTAAATAAACAACAAATAAATGGTAGTAAATACATTTTTATAGGAACATACTTTAATATATGCAATTTAACGAAAAATATCATTGTCTTACAAATAAACGAAAAACTCTGTATCAATAAAACTTAACTGTAATAAATTCTTGTAAAAACATAACAAAAAATATCTTAAAAATGAAAAATAAACAATAAACTCTAAAATACAAGCAAATGTAATAAAATAAGACATTACAGTTAATCAATTAAGAGAGCCCGTGTTGCCAATTTGGGTCTCCCTCTTGACCGTTTTTTACCTATAGGTACTTGTTTGGCACTGGGAGGAGGTGCGTTATGTCTGCGTTTTTTTTGTCTTCCTTTCTGTGTAGGAACAGAACTTTCAGCTTCATCGTCGGATGTGTAAGCATTAACATTATTAAGAGTATTTTGAGACATCATGTTGACTTTCACGTCACTCTTTTATAGGTTATGTTTCTGCCGCGAAACTACATACTGCCACATTACATTATAAAAAACAATTTTAATTAATTTACAGACGTTACAAATTAAAATACTGACAAAATATAAATTTTACTGACCACATTTTCACTGATCATAAACTACTGACCTCATCCAAAACAAACTTATTTTAAACTATAAAATACTGACCACTTATTAAATTTACGGACAAAAAACCATCAAAAATACTGACCACATAAATGACAGCCTATATAATTTATGAAAATACTACAATAAAATAAATGAAGGAATGGTAACATTAATTAAAAAACTTATGGAAATCAATTTTATTATTAATTATTATAGAAATTATTACTTTATGGTAACTGAAGTATGTTCCATTCGTCTGAGATTCAATTTTGTATTCAATTTTGTTCAAATATCTCGAGAAGACTGGGTCGATAGTTGTATTGTATCTTGTTGCATAGATTCTTCTAGATTATTGCTAATTGCTGAATAGAAGTTATGTCGAGGTCATCTTACGGTTTCTTCAGGTTAGCTCTGGCTACTTTGCCATGTAGCGCTGAGACGTGAGATAAGGAACTTCGTTCCAAAAATTAAAATAACGAAAAGGACCAGAATTTCTTTGTTCACAGTTATAATATAATCATATATTGTGTAGGTATAAAATTTATTTTTAATCATGTTTTTGGGAAATCACTTTAAAACAACTAACTGATTAGTGAGTTATATGTATGAACATCTCCCGTCTTCAAGTATTCCGATAGATATTTAAATTCCTGGCACGGCCTCAATATAAAGAGTAACGGATGCAGATCAGAATAATTCCTGAGAGTTCTCCGAGGTTCCCTTTTACATTTAGAGAAAACTGAAATTTATTAATTACTTAAATTTATAACAGTATTCAAACAAATTAGGATTAAAACAATTTTGAATAAGTACTTAAACACTGAATTTTTCGATCTGATTCGTACAATTCCAGTTTATACTAGTTATACTGTCTTAAGAAATTTTCTTCTGTAAAACTAATTATTTAATTTTGAAAGTGGTATGTTGCTGTTTAAATTTTAGTTTGAAAAAACAGACTTGCATAAGTCACTGAATCATTTATCTATTCGGATTGGTTTGGTCTTTGTGACATGTTTTTAATGAGTTTGAAAAAACCAATCACGGTTACTTTTAGCTTTCATTGAAGGTATATCAAACGTTTTTCTCTTTTTCGCTTTTCTCGTTAAACATACAGAACATTGTTAACAAATTGCACATCGGAATGTGTGTTTTTCATTCAGTTATTTTTGAAAATGTTTCATGTGACATTTCAGTAACGATAGAAATGTTATTGCCATAAACAAGTGTACAAACATTT